CCCCCCGCCCGCCTCACTCCGCCCACGGCAGCCCCCAGGACGAGTCCTGGCGTTGTCGTTACTACCTTTTCTTTTTTATATTAATCCGGATTAATACTTTACTTTTCTTTATCCCCGCCCCCCCAAGAAGGCTCAGCGCACAACTGCTAGGAGCGGCGCGCGCATCTTTGCTCTTTTCAGGAAAAGCAGGAGGTGTCTTTCAGTAAAATTGCCAAGAACCACTAAACACGACGTCACAGCAACAGCGGGGAACACTCGCATTAACGCCTCCTACAAGGTTAATTTACAGAAGTCATGTTAAAAGGCAGATTGTGCAGAAATTGGTCTTTGAAAGAAATACTGAAGTCAGCATGAAGTACGAGTTTAACTGTTGAATGTCATTATATATATATATAACAAAATACATGAATTAATATACATATTAGCAATGGGAAGCACATTAGAAAACTCATTAAGTTTGATATAGTAACTCAAGCTAAAACAGAGCTGTCAAGTGTAGTGTTAAATTTAGATGGTTTAAAACTCAGGTTTTGCTTTTCAAAAAAACTTACTCATAAATGTTTTAAAATGTAAAATTAAGAACAAATATTGCATCACTAAGAAGCAATCTATCACTGTACATAAGCATACAAAATACTTTGTTGTTGTATAATCCGAGAAATACAAAAAAAAAAGTTGCAAAACAACATTTTTATGTTGTTACTTTACTGAAGTTAAGGCATTCACAGCAAAACCATGGGGGATGTTTTCTTTACCTTGCCAGCAGCGGTTTGAAGGAGCGCTGCCCTTCCACACACTGCCCCGCTGGGAGGGAGGGCGGTTCACAGAGCCGCCCTTGGTACAGTGGGCACCTTCTCCACATCTGTGCTTGCCTCCAAATACTGCTGGCACCTCTCAATATTTAAATTACTTAATCTAGAGACACAGTCCTAAATCATCTCTTCTCAAGAAAGGTGTTAAAAATTAGGAAGAGACTTTTAAATTACATAATTTGCTTATGAAAATCCAGAACACAGCCAAATGAGTCGGCCTACATGTACCTGGCTGGAAACGGTACCACGCTACAGGGACACGGTGTCGCTGGCGAGTTACAGCTACACTGGGAATCACTGAATCAGATGAAGGGGAAAGACGGGCTGAAGCACATGAGGGAAATACAATTCATAAGAAATGCCTCAAATTAATTGGTTTTGCTGACTGCTGACAGGGCCTGCTCTGAAGTGCTACCTTCTGGATGTCACTGTTCAAGACGGATGTAAACAAGGATGAAAGCCCAAAGGGGACCGATCTAGAAAATATTTCTTATTTGAAGGGAAACAAATAAAAGCCATAAAACAAAAGCTGAAGAAACCCTACAAGGTGCTTTAGTGTTTTTTGAGTAGAAAAGACTAGACTGAGGGTATCCAAGTATCCTTTTCATATTTACTACTTAAGAAAGTAGCTTTTCTACATTCACTATGGATAGTAAATCCATTCTACAGCAAGGAAGATTCAGATAAATGAAACTCTCTCAAAATAAGCAGTGAAACAAAATACTGCAAAATATCCATCCAATAATTTTAAAAAAGGTCAAAAATAAGGCATGATACAAATGTAGGTGGTCCTGCTTTTGAGCACAGCAAAATGGACTATGTGTGCTGCTGATACTTATTTAAACCCCTTTTTTTTAAAAGTAGGCAGCAACAGAGATACAAATGATTTGTCTTTCCAGCCTAGGCAAAACAGGAGAGTTTTACTTCATGAGATTCTCAAAAATATATGTATATTTTTTTCTTCAAGTTTGTATCCAGTATTTGCTACTTATACATTATAAGGACATACCTCAGATATGAAGTTTTAGTCTTACAAAACAAAGACTATCAAAGACTATTCCTTTTAATAAAATTAGATTTTAAGAACAGGAAAAAAAGGCTGACTTCAAACAACAAAACACTCTACAAGATCACAAAATCTTGATGGATTAAGGAAGAATTTTTTTTTTAATATATACACAGTATTTTCATAAACCAGGCTTTTAAAAAAGTTTCTATTGCACATCAGAAGTAAACTGTTCTATAACGATCAACTTCAGTGTGATGAAACTAAAACTGTGCTTAAAACTCTAGTTTATCTGGTAACCACATCTTTAAAAGACAGCTTGTTCTATAACATCTTCCCCTCCTCTCTACTTGTATCTTTCCTCTAATGCTTAACTGCTGCTTCTTTCTCTTTCAAACTCTCTGCAAAAATTAAAACAGGTGTGAGGACTCTTAACTCCTATACTGGAACTCAACAGCTACAGTGGGTTTCCTATTCTAGGCATGACAAAGCATGGACTGAGTAGTCAGATATTCATTTGCATAATTTCAATGATGGTTTATGTTGTCACCTGCACACACCCATATTGTTCTTTGCTGAAGAGTAAACCTGATGTTTTCAGTGCAAGCAGTAGCACTGGGGAGCACTAAATCACATTCAAATAAGTCTTCTCTTGTGAAATAATCCATATCCTGCCCACATTTCTTCCTCTTAGTAGGAGGACTCCACGACGAAGGCCAATTACCTTACAAAACTGGTTTAAACAGTCATAATTCAGTATATTCCTGTTTTGCTTCTTATGGAACACTTAAGGGAGTTACAAAACCTGAATCTCTAAGAGATCTTCCTCTCCTTTGCAAAATCTGATGTCTTCTTAGCATTTTTATAGATGAAAAGGATCAATCTGCTAACTAGCTCACTTTGTTTTAGCCTGAAACGATTTGCTTTGCCACCAAAGGAAAACATTTAACAAAGCTGAATTACTTTGAACAATATCATTTGGGGAAAAAAAGGCACAAAGAAAAAAGTAGTTATGAATTGATTTACTAATGGACAGGGAAGGGAAAACTTATAAGGTAACAATACATAAGAAGCTAATGAATATCAGTAGGAGGCAGAAAAGGGTGCTTGAATAAGTGCTCGAAGACACTTCTGTTGCAAGACAATCAAAAGTTATACTAACTACAAGTGAGAAAGTCAACAACATAGAGGATAATTAAACTTGGATGAATTTCTGTTTGCACGAGGAATGCTTTGACAAAGTCATTTATCTCTTAGCAAAAGTGAGGGTTCTTTCTGCTTTGTTTTTGCTTCCCCCTAAGCTGAGTGCCAAGGCAATAAAAGGCATAATTCCATACCCCAACTGGGCAGGAATGGACTGTCATCCCCCCACCTTGAAGAGTTCCTAAGAAGCAGGTACTGTACCTCACATCTTACAAAACTGATAGCATTACTCCTTCTAGAGCAGCATTTTAAAGAAGAATTGGCAAACTGCCTTATCACATAGGTCACACAAGTCATTTGCAAGAAACAAAGCACAAAAATTACATTTAATTAGAAAAAAACCCAAAACTTAAGAGCATACTTGTTATCCAGCAAACACTTGCTTGTATTTAAATGGGTAAACAGCACATTCAGTGTTTGCTTAGTAGGGGGTTTATTGAAAGTGTAGTGTGGTGGAAAAAAAAAAAGAAAAAAAGAAAAAAGATGAAGGTCTATGCAAAGCAGTGAACTGCTCTCACTGTAAGTAAGAACATAGTAAGAAAGTATTTTAAGAGAGACTAAACTCTGAAGAGACAGGTTAGAACCTAGAAAATAAGACAATACCACGCTGTTCTTATGGATTCTATCCAAGCTTCTGTGGAAACAAGTTTGGTAGGAAATGCTGCCAGTGACAGATGTAGAGCATTCTCCTAACACTTTCAGCTGCTGACTAATGAGTAGGTGTTTGATAGGACAGTTGAAATGAAAAATGGCTCATTTATCCAAACCCATGATTTCATGTCATGCTAGCTAGAAAAAAAAAAAAAAAAAAAAAAAAAAATCACACATTTCTCAAGAACAATATTTCTCCTGATTACATTTTGGGGTGGTTATTTATCCTCAAAGTGTCATACTTTTTACTTCTTAACATGTTACAAAATATCTCAGAGTAGATAATTGCTAAATATTTTAATATCAAGTGACTTGATGGAGATTCGCCCCTCCCCCAGTATGAACACTACAGAATTGCCAGATTTTGTTTTATAACATTCTATGTTCACAACACACGTTTATTTCAATAATTTAGCTAGACATTAAAAGGAAATTTAAATACAGCAATATCTGCAGTGTTTATACAACATTAAGACAGTAAAGATCAAAGTTGAAAAATATGAAGTTAGTAAAATTCAAATGGCAAAAAATAAAATCTCCAAGCAGGGTTGCCAAAATGCTGTCAAAGAATGAACACAGCCAGGACCAGAAGGATATCGCTTAGCATACTGAGGTAGTCCAATATGGTTCATGTACAAGGGAGAAAAACATCAACTGTTTCCAGGCTCTTCTCTGTGGTGGCCAGTGACAGGACGAGGAGTAACGGGTGTTAGTTGAAACATAGGAAGTTTAATCTCTGTATAATGAATAACTTCTTTACTGTGAGGGTGACAGAGCCCTGGCTCTGTCCAGGTTGTGCCCAGAGAGGTTGTGGAGTCTCCTTCTCTGGAGATCTTCCAAATCCACCTGGATGCAGCCCTGTGCCATGTGCTCTAGGTGTCCCTGCTGGAGCAGGGGGTTGGACTAGATGATCTGTAGAGATCCCTTCCAACCTTAACCATTCTGTGATTCACACAAAAAAAAAAAAAAAAAAAAAAAAAAAAAAAAAAAAAAAAAACACACACACACACACACACAGGTAAAACCATTGCGCAAGTTTGAGCTTATCTTGATATGAGTTTGTGAAAATGATAAACACACTTGGTTCAATTATTTTATAGCACAGAAGAAATTATGTTTTAGC